TTCTCCCATCGTGGCTAGTGAATACCAGACAAGAAAGGAGAATGCTCTGAAGTGAGTTTAGTTGAAAGACACATAAAATATTTCAGTTGTAGGCATTAATCGATTTTTAACTACTTCTACGAATCATAAGCTATGTTTCTTCGTCCAATAGGAAGATGCATTTGCTACTAATTTTGAGGCAGCCATAATTGCCTTACAGCAACGTAAATTTTTTATAGGAAATAAGTGGATGCAACTACAATTCAAATCAAGTCGATCAAACTCACATGGCTAAGTAGAGGTCATAAAACGCATAGATAGCCTGAGTGATAGGCATATTTTCGTCAAGTATAACCAATGCAAAAGCATTCAAAGAACAACCTCCTGTTCCCCATACAGAAAAGCCGAGGGAAGCATACGCGAGCAACGAAAGTTCAAATAAAAGTTAATACGTCATGCCATACTTTTCTCTATTCTTTATGTTGATAAAACATTAAATAATTGCTCATTTTTCTGCAATTTCTCCTATGGACTTACCTTTGTCACACGAACATTCTCAGCAAGTTGGAATTTCATGCTTAATGTGTATGTTAAAGTCGAATTACCAGTCTTGGAAATATCACGAAGTCTAGCAATATCCCGACGATAGAACACCATGATTGTCAACGATGAAAATGTTATAATTCCGAATGTGATTAATACGAGACGAAGCACGGAATATCCTGAATGTTATAATTTGATTGTGAGAGCAAGCCAACATTTGATCATAACTTTGGGATCTAAACTGTTCAAACAATGACATTTTGAATTGATTTTAAAATTGATTTTGTATTTCTGAGATTGTGATTCAATAATAATAATAAATACTAACAGCTATGCTACAGTAAACGAATTTACTGCACAATATACCGTTTCCTTTCTATACCATACCTCTCTAATGTGTAGGTAGAAAATGAAAAAAAATTTGACCATAACTAAACTAATCGAAGAGATGGTAGAAAAATCAAACGCTGATAATAAACATATTCATTTCGGTGATTCTTACGGAGATTTACATTACCAGATAGATTTTGGATTGATGTTGTCGTAATAAGGATTTCGTTAATGGCCTTAGTGATCATATCTCAAAGAAATGCGATAAGTTTTCGCGTGTTTCTCTCCTTGTTCACCGATGATGCCACAGCAAGAAGCCTTTTTTGAACTTCAACAGCATAATTAGACACATTTTCTTTTCTTGCAGATGTTTAGCAATATGAACACAGCATTTTGAGGTGCACGTCAATGCTAGCGGCATAATTCTCGCCTTACCGAGCTGTACGAGCAGATAGTAGATGGCAGAAAGCAATATAGAACTTCCATCCACCATATATGATATCCAAGGTCGCTGGACATTTTCATAGTCGTTCACATAAATTGAGGCAAATATTCTTTCGACTACGATAGCTGGGATCATTGTGATCAAGGTACACAGAGGTTCAAATCTAATGAACATTAGAGAGAGTAGCAGAAGATCGCCTGAGCCTAAAAATACAGTGATGAATTGAAGCTTCAAAATCTTCATTGAAAGAGTTATTTTCTAATTTTTAATTTTCCAATTTCCCACCGACCCAAATGTGAGCGGGTAGCAGGTGCACGTGAAAAAGGACTTCCTGTCACCCAGTAATTTCTCGTAGTAATCTTGTAATTTTCTTGATTTTTCACCTGTTGTACGAATGTCTTAGCTTTTACTGTCTCTGACTGCAATTACCTATCTGCACTTTTTTGTTTCTTCACCTGTTTTGCGATAAAATTCGTCTCTATTGTCTTTGACCGCGATTATCTATTACTATCTAAGGTAAGACAAAAAATGACGTTAAATGGTAACCAACCTCTTCTCTCTACTATTCCAACATCATAAATAAATATGAAAATCCGAGTAATTTCTGACACTAAAATGGCAATCAGATGGACCTGAAAATTCATCTCTTTGTTCGCACTGTTTTCCTAAGTTTCTTTATAAAACAATGTGAATTCTAATTGCCTTCCAGCATTAATGTGCTTCCTGTAAACATGATTTGCAAATTTATAAAAACAACCTATAAAGAGCATTATGCTTATTGGACGCTTACATCATGTCATTTGAATTTCTAAAAAAGGGAAAGCAGCAAGATCAGGAAA